CTTTATTAATACTACTAAGCTCATTATCTAATGTACATTTTATTATTATTTTTTTTTTTAATTAGAGCCGATAGCCTGTGTTGCTAGTGCTCAATGTCTTTTTTTTAATCTAAGAATTCATTTCATTAGTCTAAAATTAAAATACTAATAATAATAATAATATTAATGAGGTTAGGGTTTTCTAACGTTTTGGCGTCCTTTAAAATACGCCAACAATCTACACTTGAGTAAATTCGGAAACATTTCTTATAGTTAATTTAATTTCTGTTGTACACGGGGAGGGCACATCTGCGGCGATTTCGACCCTGATAACAATGGAATTTAATAATGGAATTAGGCTTTTATAACAGGCTTTTGGAAAGGAAAACCTAACCTTATTATTAAATTCCTTTTTTCTTACTGTCAAAATCGTTTCACATATGCCCTTCTTCATACATACAACACACTTCATTAATTATATTTTGACAAATTTGCTCAGGCGCAAATTTTTTATATGTTTATAAGGACGCTAAATCTCTTCCGACAAACTTGAGCTGTTCGAACCTCCTAACTTCAGTATGAAATCCTTTTTTTATCACCAAAATCGCCACAAGTATACTCTCTGCATATACATCAAACTATAAATTAGTTATAAAAAATTTTAAATTGTTTATTCAAGTTCAGATTTTTGATATGTTTCCAAAGACTCTAAAACTTATTATAAAATAGTAACTGTAGTACTAAATTCCATTTTTATCATTGCCAAAATCGCTTCAAATACACATACACACAACAAACTTCATTAACTATACAGAATCAGGCACAGATTTTTGATACATTTTAAAGAATGTTAAAGCCTGATTTTGTTAGAAATCCCTCTTTTATCCCATAAAATGCGCCCTTCTCTCAACCTTGCGAAATGACAGCGAAAGTCTATTCAGAACTCAAGCGTTACCCAAGAACGTACCCAAATTAGCGCTTGAGATCTACGAAAGCGCATTTGAATTAACGACCAACTCGTTTCAAATCCAGATCTCGTCGACGTGATAGATCCTTGCTCCGAAGAAATCCCGGCTGGCTTTGTAGATACCACTACAAATTCCGCAATAAAGCCGGGAAATGCGAACCCTCCTGTGCATATTTAAGATAACATGGATCAATAAAAAAATCCATCTTTGAGGCGACTAACTAGGGAGACAATAAATATCGCTTTTTTATATTTGATAGACAAAATTGAATAAATTTTTTGACGGTGGCGCAGTTTCGGTCGTTCCATCCTCAAAATTTCCGATTGACAAAAAATTTTCTGATATTAACTTGACGGCAACCAACGGTTCAACCATTAATGCGTATGGCAAGAAGCTGTTAAATATTAACCTGAATATTCATCGTAAGTTTTCCTCCGTTTTTTTCATTGCTTACATCTCCAGATTAATCACTGTGGTTGATTTCCTCAGTAGGTACTATCTGTCAATTGATGTTAGACATAAGCGTTCAGTAGTTAATGCCATTTATTGAATGCAAAATTTACTTGCCAAAATTATTTTTTACCCACCACTGAAGAATGGGAGTATACTAATTTTGTTTTTTTCATAATGTATGTAACATCCAGAAGGAATCTTCAGAGACCTTATAAAAAATATTCTTGGTCAGCGTGAATTCTTGATCAAGTCGTATCTGTTCATCTGTGTGTTTGCTGTTTGTTGCTGGCACTGTCGTGGTCACAGAAAAGATATCGACTTCAAGTTTGGTGGAAACATTGGAAGTTTTTACGCAAAGGCTGGTATTGAAAGTGAGCTAAGTTGGTCAGAGCAAAGACCCGCATAAACCCGTGGAGCATACACTGAAATCAACTCGGTTTTTCTTACCAAAAATATCTGTGTTTTTGCTTATTACTCGCAAATTATAAAAGATAAAAGTCCGAAATTTTTGACATTTACTTTACGAAAATCTCTACTATTGCTCTCGCTCTCTCTCTACATGCTAAACTGTGTACTACTATTTCAATGCAAAAACGAAAAAAGTCGGTCATGCCCGAACATCCTTCAGGTATAAAAATAACTCATTCCATATTTAAACGCTATTTACCCTGTTTTATATTTTATATTATTTTAACTCTTTTTCTAATCCCTAAAAAACTGAAACACATATGAACAATGCAACAACAATTATGAATAAAAGCTATGATGGTTTTCCATAATTTCTCCGCGAATATTAAAGTATATTGGGTTTGACATACTAGCATTTATCATCTTTTATATTGCAGGTGGAGCGAAAATCACTTAATGAAGCAGTAGTAGCATAAGTTGTTAGTGATATTGATGTGGAAGATGCTGAGGTTTCACCAGCTGCCGCGGCTGCCATAAGCGGGGCGCCTTCAAAGCTAATAGCTAATGGCAAGGCAGATGGAGCGCATACACTTAGATCAGTACGGCCTTGGTTTGCCGATCGAAAACGCGTAGCACGTGCAGTTCTGTGAACGCATTAAAAATAATATTAAAACGTTATTGTTAATGTGTGAATAACATATGGCTGTTTTAGTTGCTTTGTACTCTCATGTGCAAGGTCTCTCAACTAATCACTCTCAATTTTTCCCCTTTTTTTTAACAGTCAATGAACATTTGTCTATTGCTATTTGACAAGCGAATCCCAAACATGCGTCGACAAAAGTTCGTGTATAGCATTCAAGGCTCAGAAAATCCAGAAGAAATACAAGTAAAATCGATGGCGCTACCGCATGATAACGCACAGCTCATGACCCCGTTGCATGAAAATGCCAAATGACGGCTCTTATTGAAAAATACTCTCTATCACGTACCAATAATATGGCCCAGTTTGTGCATAAAATAGTGATAGTAGCAATTAGGAGAAACAAGGGAACATAAGAGGGGAGAATTAGTTCAGAAAATTTGGCAGTTGATGCGTGCTTCAACATTTCATAAACAGGATCACAAAGAAAATTAAGGAAAACCTGATGAGAAAAGAAAAGCATTTTTGTGGAAATATTATTATTATTATTATTAATTTCGCCACAGAAATAAATTCTAAGACTAAACTCTTAAAAGAATTAGTATCTAAGGCTATCGGCTTTTATTAAAAACTCTACCGCACTTGAGATTCGAACACACGACCATTGACTTGCTAGTCGAGATTCCTCCCCTGGAAATATAATTGTGTATAATTTAACAACTGTCGTAGGAAATAGTAAAAACACATACGAATCAGATATCGGCTAAGTTCTTAAATTAATAACACAAAAGGATGAAGTGTTTTGTTTAACCACGCCGTTGTACTTGCCCTCAACTATATAAGATGTTAATAGAGTCCACCTAAAACTTTGACACAAGCCGAATGTCCTCGATAAACATGATTGGGAGCTATAGGTATAAGTCTTAGTGGTGTTTTTATATAAAGAGAATCTAAAGTGTTGACATTACTACTTACCTTTCACAATTACACTTGAGTAGGCGAATGAATGCTGCACGAAATGTTCGATTGAATATGGTATATATAATGGGATTTATTGTAGAGGATACATAGCCCAACCACAAACAGGTGTTTACTATTTGTCCGTGTACTTCGCAATCGGGGCAGGCGGCAAAAACAATATTTAAAATAAAGAAGGGTGACCAGCACAAAACGAAAGTAAAGAAAACTAAGCCTAGAACTTTCGTGGCTTTCTGCTCGGTGGCTACAGCGTTAGCCGACAGACTGTTACGTTTATTACGGTTATTAAGGAATCTGGAAGGAAATAATTTAATAGAATTGGAAGTTAAATTAACGAGAAATGACGCATTCAACTAACCGTAAGTGTAGCTTTGGCGTTGCTACTTTGTTTACATTTAATTTAAATGATTTCAATTTACGACAATGCGTGATATCGCTATTCGTATGTATATTTTGCTCGCATTGTTTATTTAATTGCTGCGTCTGGTATGCTTGGTCGAGACGTTGACTAACAACAGCGCTAACAGTTTTATCACCGGTTAATGTTGAAATGGGCACAGTTTCCTTTATTTGTGTATTTGTTTGGTCATTATCTTTAAGTTCATTTCCGTGTAAACTTAATTTGGTCTCACACAAAGACGAGCGCATAACCCTCGGCACTTGCGTAAAGCTGTTTTTATTATTAACATTTCCATCACTATCGCCTATGGAGCCAATTGAGAAGTCTAATCTTGTGCTTTGCCTGTTTACATTTACTAAAGTCCTTTCATTTAAATGACTATGAATGAATAAACAATGTTTTTTGTTTGTTTAGCAAAAATTCGTTGTCGTAATTACGAACTGCAGATGTGAATGTAAGAAAATGAATCCGTAATACAATCAATAAAGGGAGGAGACAAAATAATACTTTCCGCTCGGGGTAAAATCAATTTGTTATCTTTTGAAGGGAATTGTCAATAAAGAAGCACGCAACATTAACTTAACAACAGACAAACAAAAATTGAATTTAGTTAAAAATCTAAATGTTTGGGTCGGATGACGACAATGATAGTTAAAATGGTGAGTACGGCGGAGTTTGTATTTTAATACGCAGTGGTTAATATCCTCCTCTTTCAGCAATGGAAAATGTTTGTTCTCCAGCTTTGCCATGGTGAACAATTTGCAGAGTGTTAGAGATTATTTCCACTAACTGTCAAAACTAAGCACTTTCTTGTGATACCGCAAACGTATAACTAGACAATATCCACTACTCTCCGATCATTTTTGAAGAGAAGAATATAACGTCTTATAATCAGCGTATCTCCACCAAAAGATATTTGTTACTTTGCTATCTTTTTCTTGAAAGTAATTTTGAAGCCAAAAAACAATATCATAACACTGGCAAAAAAGCTAAATGTACAAATCGAATGAAATCCATTAATGAGGCTTGCCACTCCAAAGCTTTTCGACACTTTATAACAGCGCATTGTTAAGTATCGCAAAATAGAATCCTTGAATTCTGACAACAACATTACCTATCTATGACTTTTTAATCGTTTCGTCGAACCGATCAGGGCATTTCGTAATCTTTCGGAAAAAGTTAATAGTTTCTAGAACAATTGTCATGAAATAGAGCTCACTTTTAACCCAAGTAAAGCTAATGTAATCTATTCTGCCAAGGTGTCCAAAAAGCAAGTTAGTATGGACACCAATGGTGACCAAATCGTTGCAATATCTTGGTAGAGATATTAATACAACTTTTACTTTTCTTGACAACTTCGAAAAAATAACTAAGGATTGTAGTAAAAAATCAGCGCCTTTAAGCTAATACTTATGAAGGCATATCCGCAATAAAACCCTTGTTGTTTTATAGAGTCTTAATCCGATTCAAAATAGAATCCCTCCGATTAACCATCTACAACTTTCCAGAATATATTGACAGACTAACTCAAGCTTTTCAAAACAAGCGATGCTTCGTCGATGCTTAGATCTTGCACCATCTACTCCAGATAATCTTTTCCTCTTACTCTCTTGCGCACCACGAATGCAATACAGGGCCATTCGATTCACTGCAAATAAGGTAAAGAAGGTGCTGCGCACATATCTTACGGCATACAATAAAGTCACCTCTCCAAATGACATTTGCTGTTATATTACCTGCTACAAAACATTCATAGAATATTTTCAATACTACCGAGCAAACTGAAACTTCACGTTCCCTTGAATATATTTCTCACGTTGGCTCACAGTACACAAAATCTAGATCCATCAATAGCTCAGATCATCTGCTCTGAAAAACCGATTACACACATTAACATCTCTTTCAAGATATATACTGCGAATGCATAGCCATAGTTCAACACAATTCGAAATTTTTGAGAAAATAAGATTGTCTGGCAAACTCTACCAATTTAGAACTTCGGAATTTGCATAAATATTGCACGTACTACACAAAAAGATTACCGGAAGATAGCGCCCATAACTGCCAGTAAGTCTAGCCTACAAATAATCTTTAAAAAGAGAAAGTATAACTTATATGTTGTAAACAACTGTAGGGCTGGCTTCCTTAAATAAAAAAATTAGTATTGAAATTTAATGCATTATGCTTATCTGTAAGGATCAAAGTCGTCCTGCTTGTTTTGGCCTTACACGCTGTCTAAGATGCCTATATTTTGTTATATGCATCTAAATCCTGAAATCGAAAATTATTCTGTAATAGAATGTATAAGCATTCCTGGTACTATAGCGTAGTCTTTTAGCTTAGCTTTTGCATTATTGGTTATTCAACGTTAGTTATAGGTGGCAGATTTAAACTCGCCTGTACTTCCCAGTACTGTACCGTCGGGGAGAAGTGGAGATATCTCATTCTGACTAAATGGATTGGCAACGCCAATCCGACCGTAGGAGAAGAAGAAAATAACTTCCGAATTCCTGTGTTTTGTTATGTTTGCTTGACGGCAGCGGCTCCCCGAAAGGCAATATTCGAGTCAAGACTGCCGTCTGAGACGTTTCAGGAAAACATAGAAAGTTATCTGGTTGCAAAAGTCCCATCGATCAATTTGAAGCATGTAAGTATTTTCAAATTGGCTCCGTCTCAAGCTAGAGCTATCTCGTCTATAAAACGTGGAAATTTTATTAAAAAAAACATCGTGGCCTGTTGATTCCTTAATTAAGGGGTTTATTCCACGAGAACGATTCCGTAATACTAATTCGATAGCTCTTTCACCTTCAAAAACTGAAATGTTTCCTCATGTCCAATAACTTTTAATTACCAAAATTTTTCGGGGCTAGACTTAAAACTTTGCTGTACTTTCCTAAATTCAGGTAGCACGTAGTTTTCCTCTTTGGCCTTCACTGAACCTTGGTGAAAGCCTAAATAACCTTCGTCGAGATTTTTTCACAATTCTGTCCAGGTTTTCAGAAAGGATCGATTAGTTCGCGCTGGTGGTGATGTTTTAATTGCCATATCTGTTACAGTCCCATCCTATTTATTTGAATGTCCCATTAATGTCCAGTTTATTGCCATTCGGGCAAAAATTGGCAGTAAACAATTATATGTAGCTTGCTTCAATATTCCCCCAAATGTGAATATCTCTATTTATGAAAACCTTTCTATCCTCATTTATAACGTGTCCGAAAAGCCTAAACCTTCTGATACAGTCATAGCATTTCGGGACTTTGACTTGCCACGAGTCACTTGGTCTTATAGTGATAATTCTGACTCACTGCTTGTTAATCCTAAATATTTTGTTAAGTTTGTTAACTCCAAAAAAAAAAAACCATATATCGCTTGCCTATTTCTTTCAATGGCTCTGAGTCCTCAGATGATACTAAAACTTCTGATTACTTCCCTTTTCCAACTCATTATTACGATTTAACTGTAAATTATCCGCACCCGTTATCTAAGTAGGCTTTGATTCGTAACTTTTTTATTTCAGAAAATAATGTTTTAGATGGTTTAAGGTCTCTAAAATGTACTTCTGCGTCTGGAACTAATGGGATTCCATATTATATGCTAGACCTTTAAAACAGATGTTTTTCTTTGTGTTCCAATTCACAAATGTGGAAATACACATCGCGTTGAAAGCTATAGAGGCAACGCCAAGTTCAGTGTCTTAGCTAAATATCAAATCTTATATTTCTCCATTCCAGTATGGCTTTCGGAAAGAAAGATAACTGTACTGACTGAATCTCTTAAAGTTTACTTGCCATGTTTTCAAGGCTTTCTCTAGCGGCTCTCGCAAGGATGTCCTGTATACTGATTTTAGTAAAGCGTTTGTCTTACTTAACCATAACTTACTGACCTTCAAATTCCAGGCCTCTGGCTTTCCTTTCTACATAGTGAAATTGATAAGCTCCTATCTGCATTGCAGATTGTTCATTCCTGTAGGCAGCCACTTAGCACCCATTTTATTTAATGTATACATTAACGATCTCTCCTCGGCGATTAAATCCAGATCTTAATGTACGCTGACGATGTTAGACCGTTTTCTTCCTTCCCCTTTGGATCCTAACCGTACCAATTTCAAACTGGCTTAATTAATTTGATTAGATGGTGTTTGTTAAATCTTATAAAATTAAATCCAAAAAAATGCAAAAAGGTTTCTTTCTTAAAAAGGAAGCCATTCAATACTGCGCATTTTATTGATTCCTTGAAGTTGGAAAATGTAGATTTGTTTATCGATTTATTGGTTTTATCTACCTTTTAATTTTTACCTTGAGCTCTCTTTAAGTAAAGCTAGGTCTGCGTATGGTTTCATTAGGAGGGAAAGACCAATACTTGAGTATGCCTTTGATGTGGTCTCCTTCCTATAGGTATAATGGAGGTTCAATGGAATCTGTTCGAAAGTAATTCTTGCTATTTGCCCGTGGAAATTTGGATTGGGACCCGCTTGTCTATCTTCTTCCTTATGAAAATAGGTTGCTTCTGTTATCTTTACCGTCATTTGAGAAACGAAGATTTATTCTTGGTGTTTCCTTCTTAATTAAGAATTATGAGGTGTTTAATTCGTTCAGAGTTGTTTGCAGAAACCTAAATGACGTCTGTCACTTAATCTCAACATCGGATTCTTTAAGATTTATCAAAACAATTTTGCTTTCTACGCGATTTGCCTTTATCTTATTTAAACTAACTTGCAACCTCTGATCACGATTCGAAGATGAACTGGTGTTTTTTACTATTATTATATATAAATAAATAAATGATTACATCACATGGCAGCACCATATAATACTACTATCGTCTGTTCTGTATCTTTTTCTTTACTCCTGCGTTAAAACGCAGCTGTCAGACTAAGTTTACAACGTTCCTGGCCGCCAACGCAAAGAGCCTGTGTAAAATTCACATCATCCAACACAAAACGGACAGAAACCACAGCACAACAATTTAACCAAAAAAAAATCAAAAAATAATGTGTATACAATTTAAAAAATTTTTTTGCTTAAAAACCCACCACTCGGAGAATATCGCTTACTCGTGTAATACGACGACGCCCAGAAAGAAGAAATGAAGAAAGTGAATGATATATTAACGAGGCTCTATTTGCTTCGATGCTCTTTCAAATATGTTTTATGCATTGAGAAAGAAAAATAATAGCAGAAGAAATTCAGATTCTATATAGATAGACCCTTTTAATATCCGTCACTCCTTCAACAGTTTTTTTTTTTTACCGTAATGTAGTCGTTGTACTTACGAGAAGATCGCCTTATGTCGTCTTATGAAGGGATTATTTCAGCATATTTTTACGAAGGCGCATTCAAACGCAACTCTTAAGTTCAAATTTTACTTTTGAGCGGGAG